TTCATGATTTTTTTGTGGGGGAGGATAGAAGCAAGATAATGCCCCTCTACCCAACCTGTGCAACACCTACATACACAAAGAAATAATTAATAGCTAACGAGTAACACCAGCTAATCAATACAGACCTAGCGTAGATTTTTCCTCAGCACAGATACTGAGGCTGGGGGAGGCTTTCTGAGGAGCTGAACTTTAGGCAGGGCTCCTCCTGTGCCTTGAAGCTGTCTCTGGGAGGTCAGAGGCTCAAGTCATAGAAATGGGTGAATTTGGCCGCTTTTGCCCCTCCTTTGAAATTAGGGTTAGCTGCCCTTCTATTCTTGCGCCTTTCTGGGCAGGTGTCCTTGCCTGTGGCTCCTTGTCGTTACAGTTTTCCTATCTCCTGGCCCGAACCCGTGACACCCAAGGGTCAGCATGTCCTCTGCCAGTTGGCCTCATTTTTTTCCCCACCTTCACAACAACATGGGACTTGGTGCAGTTGCCCTCTCTGGTCACTTTTCCTCTGTGTGCCCCTTATCTGCACAGAAAACAGCTCACTGCATCCCTCTGGGAGTCTCTCACATGTCTGTGCTGTGTGTTCCCACTCAATCTTTCTCTGAATTTTGGCAGTGAGTGGTTCTTTTCCTTCCTTATACCATAGCTTTCATGGGAAACTTCCACTTCCAGAGTGTGTGGATATTGAACCTGGTCTCTTCTTTAGTAGCTCTCCCTTGCCTCTAATTCCTGCTATAGCCAGGCCAGATTCCAGGTAACCAGTGAGCCCAGACCTCAGACATGCTTGCCTCATACACTCTCATTCCCTCCCCTCAGCTGATTCACAGCCAGCTCCAGGCCCAGTTCACACAGTTCTTCTTTCTCTTGCTTTATGTTAATTATATCTCATACTGTATCATAGGCATCCCACATGACTGCCCATTCTGTCAATTCCCAGAAACCATTTTTCCTACAGTGCTATGCTTAAGACAGAGTGCTACCAGTAAAAAAAAAAAATTGAGTTTTATGCTTTGGCCATGTACTTACAAATTTCATATACTTATCAAATCTTAAGTAATCTTAAAACAAGTATTATCATAATATATTAACATTTATTTCCAAGTACAGTAAGACCCTGACTACAAGTGAGTTCCGTGCCAGGAAAACATTCATAAGTCAGATTTATTGGGAAGTCTGACAAAATGAGTCTTGTACTCCTTTGACACAAATATAGAATGTAAAGCATAAAAAAAACCCAAGTGCCCACACAAAAATACAGTAAGTCCTCAACTGTACTATACTATGTACACTATCACACTGTACAGTAAGTACACAACAGCACAACTGTGACAGTATCTGGCAGACATGTGAGTTACTTCCATGATTTGTTCCCATACGAAGTTCATAACTCAAGATCTATTTGTATCTGTGAAATTTCACAACTTGAGTGTTCATAAGTTAGGGACTTACTGTAAATTCAAAGGTTTATAAAATGGCTTATTAAAAAGATACTGGAATAGGACTAGCAATGTAACTAGGTTAGAGAGCACTTGCTTAGCATACACACAGCTCTGGGTTTGAACTCCAGCACTCCGCCTAAAAAAAAGTTGCAAGAATAATTATGTGCTAATGGGAATAATTTTCCCATTGATATACCTAATAGGAATGATATTTCCCACTGATTTCCCCTGATGATACCTAGAGATGTCTGTACTAGAGAACATTGTGCATGTGCAGGTTTCAGCTATGTAACATTATGGGTGGGTTTTCCCCCATTTTAATGAAAGTAGTCATCTCAAGTGGTAATTAAGTCTGGATTAATGAGAAAGACTTCTAAGATGATGTATGCGCCACCATTTGACAAGACCAGCTCAAGTTTCCAGTATCTTCCACCCTGATGTTGGCAAAACCTCCCACACTCCATGTCCTGTGCTTTCCAGTTGAGCATCATCTGCCAAGATTTAGGGCCTTTATTGGGTGGCACTCAGGTTCCCCAGACTTCACCCAAACCCTCAGGGTAGCAGCCCAGCCCAGCATGAAAGTGCAGACTTCACAATCAGCAGATGCAGGTTAAATTCATACTCAGCCACGTACTCTCTGACTCTCTGTTACTCTAATGTGCGATCTGTGCACTCTGAGTCCAGTGTCCTCAGTGCCTGCTCTGCAGTGAGGTCTGGGAGCTCAGCAGCACTGTGGCCCTCCCTTCAGCAGGAGCGCTGGAGTCTGAAGGTCAGTAATGTACACAGGCCTAATCTTCCCCACTGTGCTGGAGCTCTGAAAGCCTAATACAAAAGTTCTCTAGGTCAGGTGCTGTGGGAATGTAGGTGGAACTGGGGAAAAGGGAAGGACGAAGGCTGCATGTTCATGGATTATAAAACCTGGAGTGTATGTCATTTAGATAGTATCTAGTCCAATGGTGGTCTTTTAAGACAGAAGATATTAATGTGGTTTTTTTTTTTTTTTTTTCTAAACTAAAACCTTAGTATTCAGTTTTAATTTCAGGGTTGCACTTTGTGATAAATAAGTGAATTTTAGGTTGCAGTTTGGGTGCTCATCTCAAAGGTTTGCCAACATTGAAAAAGCAGATGTGGCAACCCTTTCTGATGAGAGAAAAGCTATTTGGTTTGAAGAGAGGGGTACTTGCTCCCTTAGTGAGCCATGTGTGAAAACTGCTGATCACATTGATAAACACATTTTAGAACTGAGTCAAAAAAATCCCAGAGGAATAAAAGGACTATATAATTGCCCAGTCATTGGAGAAAATAGGCTCCCCAGGTCTGCTGGTTCATAGGTTCTTTATGACATTCAGCTAGACATGTATCTCACTATGTCATGTCTCAATGCTTTAAAAATATTCATATGTATAATAAAAGAAATATCAAAAATACAGTTAGTGTTCCTTGTATATGTATGCAAAGACAAGATACCTCATTAATATTTTCAGAGTATGAGTAGGCCAGGATTCCCTTACTATACATATGTGTTAGGAATTGCAGCATATTTATGAGGCCAAACTGAACATCTTTTTGTTATAACATTATATATATCGTGAAGAATGTTGACTATAAGGACATTTATCACTATTTTTATGGAATTAAAATATCCCATTCAGAACATGTTGAAATTTCAAGGCTGAACAAATTCCATGCTGGACATGTTTTTAAAATTCTAAAAATAGAAGAAATAAATTACTTCCAATTTAAGAGCAAAGTTTCACTCGGTCATTCTGAGTTTTGGTTCTCTCAGGGATTTGGCTGCTTTCATAGGATTAGGAAGAGGTATGCACAGCAGTCTATGGGGTATGTGCTGTACGCACACCAGCCTTGCCTGCTGTCCTTTGCAACCTTTTTGGGGTGACTACATTTTCCCTGGGAGTCCCTGGGTCCAGGCAGAGGAGGCCTCAGACCATTGTGTTCCCCTTTGACTGACTCATAGCACTTGCCTACTACTCAGCGTTCCTGTTTATTGACTTCCCAGACAGGAGAAACTTTGTCTGATGTACTTATTACTCTGTCTTTAAAATGGCATCTGACATGCAGCTAAGGAAGGTAAACTAAGTCAACTCGACTCTGAATAAGGAATGAAGGAAATGTTCAATAATTGGTCTCTTGTGTCATCCAAAAATGCTAATTACATTGACTCATTTAATTTGAGTCCCCTTTGAAGCTAATTTTGTTTATGACATAGATGGCCGTAAAGCATTTATGTCAGTGCATTTATATCTATAGGGAAAATGGACTGCACAAAGATTCTTGTTAGATAATTGTGTAACCTTATCTTCTTGTTTTTACCTGCCTCAAATTCAGCTTGCCCAATTTAAATTAGTGATGCTATTTCATTCCTAAACTAATTATGAATCTAAACTTTTTGTTGGCATAAGATTCTATTCTTTTTATTTTATTCTAATCTTACCACTTGTGGTAAGTATTTGACCCATGAATTTGATAGTAATCTTCATATGTTATTCTTGTTCAAATCTTAGAATCCTGGATATTAAGAAAAAGTGCTAGCTGAGCCTGGTGGCACATGCGTATAGTTCCAGTGCTTGGGAGGCTGAGACAAGAGGATCACCAAGAGTTCAAGGCCAGCCTAGAGTACGTAATGAGCTCAAGGCTAGCCTGAACTCCATAGTGAGACTCTGTCTGAGAAGTCTAAAAAAAAAAGTATGGATAGAAATAAGGGCATAGATACTCTTAAGTGAAATAAATCAGACACACATGTGTAAGTACTGTATTGTTTCCCTGGTATGAGAAACCAAAAGTGTAAATAAGGACCAAAATATATAGTAGGAAAAAAATGTATAATAGATATTGTACAATAGGAAGAAAATGTTCAAATGGAGAGAGGAGCAAGAGAGAGGGGAGAGGGAAGGGGAAAGTTTTAAAAAATTAGAAAAGGAAAACATGGAAACAAAGCTTTTGAAGGGGGAGGGGAGGGGAACTGGAAAACCAAGTTATATCATGTACAGATGCAAATTCTCTATGATGAATGTGATTATTATGTGTATCTAAAATGTAACAGTAGGACCAGGGGTGTAGCTCAGTGGCACAGCACCTGCCTGGCAAGCACAAGGTCCTGAGTTCGATTTCTGGTAACAAAAAAAAAGTACCAATAAAATCTGATTAAAAAAAAGATAGGAAAGAAGGCCATAAGAGTAACAACTCAAATGGAGTAAGCCAAACTTTCACACCTTGGAAATTACCTATGAAACTGTTACACCTGGTGGAACATGCTGGTTTCTTTCCGTTTTAATGAACTATTGTGATAACAACCACATTCATCATGTATATCATATTTTCCCAAATATGTTACATTCTTCTCTGGTTCTCCTAACAGCACTGTAAAGTTCTCCAGGTGATAGGAAAACTATTAAAAGATTTAACAGATACTAACATCTGAAAAATTAGAGGAAGCTGCCCAAGGTGTGCAAGAACTTAAATTCTGAATCTGGTGTTGCTTCAAAACTGAGAATAGCAAAAGAAGTCAATGTAGTTTATGTATGTGTCTTATAAATTTTTGTGGCCATACAAAGATAAAGGTCACTATATAATTGAAACTTTAATATACAGTTTTGGTAAGGCCTAGTACATAGTAAACTCTAGCAGCTTTATTTTGGGTTAAGCTGAATAAAAGGATACATTTCAGCAAATTAGGGCAAAGGAGATAGGTGCTAACTATGACCAATGTAACAAAATTTTTAAAAAGTATGTGTATTAGATTTACATTTAGCTAAAGTTATAGTCAAGAATAATTAATTTGTATTTCTAGCCAACTATACTGCTTTCTATAGTGTTTTGATCATGATGAATAAAGAATAGTGAGATTGATCTTAAAATACTGTTTTTTATGTTTTAAACAATAATTTTACACTTATAGAAGTCTCAAAAATGATCTAGGATTCATTTCCATACTTCCTGTTAGCTTCCCTTAATGTTCACAGTGTACCTACAGTACAAAGATCCAAATGAGGGCGTTAGCACTGTGGTAGTGTTTTAATTTCACATGTGTAGTGAATAGAAAGAACTAAGTCTAACCCAATACTGAAGTAATTCATAAATCACTATTTTAACCTAATAATAGACAGCAGTAATTCATAAATTCGACCTGATTTTTTTCTTGGCTCTGTGCTTTTGGTCCTGAACTATAACATACATAATTTTTAGTAGTACTTGGAGAGTTCTTAGCTAATAGCAGATGTCAAGCAAATTGTAAAGGACGTGTTTATTTAGTCTAGCTCAGCATGCTGACATCCTATCTTAGTGAGGTGGTTTCTTTCTAGAGGTGGGAAACTGAGTGTTTTTTACTTTCACTGAAACCTCTAGAAGACTCTACTTTTATATAGACCTTTGATTGCTCCTTTGTGGGCTGGCAAATCAGATGGACTAGCATAATGATACTGAGTGTAACATGAGGATTATGTTTCTCATTAATGACAAATTCTTCTACTATAACGACATGAGTAAACCTTATAAATGGTAGAAGAAAACTTAGAGTTACTTGATGTTTTGTGGTTTAAGAACAATACTCGAGTATGACCTTATGCATGAAAATGCATAGGGTGATATTTCTCTTGTTTTAATATAATTGTTTTCAAGATGAAGATGTTCCAAAGTTGAGTCATCATCCTCTTCAGCATTACAGATTTGTTCTGGAAGAATATTCCTAAAGAAAAATAGAAGCAAGTCATGAATGGTCCTAGTATGTAGTACTCTGGCTTCATGATTTAGCAATTAAGTTTTATATCTGTTTCTTTAAAAACCTTTGTTCTTAAAGTTAGATCCTTTTGTCGTAGCACACACCAGAATAAATCCCAACTATATCAAAGATCTTAATGTGAAAAATGAAGTAATAAATACACTCGAATGGAACATAGTCACACGCTATAAGTAGAGAAATCTTCCTATTTGTGATTTGAAAACTGTGTGTATTGTGCTATAGTATGGGTATATGTTCATCCCCAAGGGACATATGCTGGAAGCTTAGTCCTCATTATGGCAATGTTAAAGTTTGGTGGAACCTTACAAGGTAGAGCCTAGTGAGAGGTGACTTCGTCACTGGGAGCATTGCCCTTGGAAGGGTTAATACAGGTCTTTTGGATTGAGTTCGTGCACAGGTGGGTCATTAGAAAAAGGCCAACATTGGCCCTTCCCCAGTCACTGACTTTCTGTCCCTGGCTTTGTGTGATCTCTCACACACACCCTCCCACCATTGTGATACCATCTGGCATGACCAGAGCTGAGTCACAGGTGCCAAATGGAATGGCTGCCATTGGTGAAAGACAGAACAATTTCAGAAGGACTGCAGTGGATTTTATATACTGAGTATATAAAAGCATAAGTGCAGTTTATTCTCCAGTGAAAGAGAGAACCTCAAAAGAGACTAATAATGTGAAAGCATGTAAGCCCCAAGTTCTTATTCTGAGTGACAATTTAAAGGGAAAGAGCTGTTTATCCTGCCTTTAGAGTAAAACAAGTCTCAGTTGAAGAGCAAAATTTCTTTACAGAGTACTTTCAGCTAAGATGTACAGAAAGAGTAACAATACAGAAATCCATCATAGATTCAAGTGACAGTCATCTATGAGTGAAACCATTGGTTCAGTGATTGATGGAGGGGGAAGTTTGCAATGAAGACACCAGGCTGTGACCACCTAAATACACTGATAAATTTTGGAATCACTAGAAGTGGAAAATTGCATGCCTTCTGATGCCCTGCAGTGTGGAGCATATAGCATGACCTGTGAAAAAATTTTGAAACAGTCTTACAAAGCTCTCTCTACCCGCCTACCTCTTGCCCTCACTATTTTGCTCCCCTGTTCTGCCCACCCCAGTAACAGAGATTGAACCCAGGGCCTTTACACTGATTTATATTCTCACTTTTTTTTGAACCAGGGTTTTACTAAGTTGCTTAATGTGAGGGTGGACTCCTGTGCAGTCCTCCTGCTCAGCCTTCCAGAGTGCTAGGATTAAGGCATGTTCCACTACTCCTGGCTAACCACTTTTGAAACTTTCTCTGTTTTTTTAAAGGGATTTAATTTGGAATTTTATGGGTAAGAAAGGGGTAAGAGAGATTAGGTTACCATCTCCCTCACTGCCAGTGGTAAAGAACACACTCACAAAGTACCCTGGATGAAACCTTGCATCATTCATGTGCCTAGACAGGGGTGATTTCTAAACACAGGCAGAAAAATATGTCCTCAAGAGTGAGAAAAGTTGAAGCTTGATAAATTTATTCAGAGTTCTACCTTCAGCAAAATCTAAAAAAAAATTTAATTTTAGCATATATTTAGGATTGTTCTCTGTAAATCAGTCTCTCAAAATTACATATGTGAGCAGGTATGCTAGCTTTCTATCAGTATTAGAGAACATCTGAGAAAATCAACTTAAGGGAGGAAAGATTTGTTTCAGCTGAGTTTCCCAGGTTTTAGTCCATGGTTTTTTGATCCATGGGCCTATGGGAGTGGTGATGAACCTATGACCTTTGTGCCGCAGCCAGCTGTTTGTTGTCATTGAAAGCTCTAAAAGGTTTGCCATCACTGGCTATGTTGAGTTCATCATGGCAGCAAACACATGATAGAGCAGAGTTGCTCACCTCATGGTGGGAAGGAAGGCAAGAATGAGCAAGGAAGGGGCCAGACCTTGTGTACCCTCCAAGGGCGTATCTCCAAAAATGTACTTCCTCTAACTAGGTCTCGCCTCCTGAGGCTTCCACCACTTCTCATAATGTCACTGGCTGGGAACTGTCTTCAGCATGTGAGCTTTTGGGGAACACTGAAGATTGAAACCATAATAGTGGAAGCTGTGGCATAGTCTATTTATTGCTTCACAGCCTTACTGAACTTGTTTCTAAGGGTCTATGTATTGTGTAATAGTAGTCTACTACGGATGTTTCCAAACATAGAAAAAACTATAATGAATTTTCATGTACCTATCACCCTACTTTAACAATTATTAACATTGCCATTGTCCCTTAGTACTTTTTTCTTCTTATTTGTTTATGGGGTTGTTTTTGTGGTACTAGGGATTTTACCCAGAGACTCTGCATTGAGCTATCCCCAGACTTCTCCCCCCGACCTCCTTGAGACATGTGTTAAGTTGCCCAGGCTGGGTTTGAATTCATAACTCTCCTGTGCCAGCCTTCCAGAGTGCTAGGATTACAGGTATGCACCACCACACTCAGCTCCTTAGCACTTCTTTTTCCCTTAAATCCCAGAGTTCATGTCATAGTTGTTTAATCATACATATTTTGTCACACAATTTAAATTGATAATTGAAAAAGCTAACATTTACCGAATCTTATTGTTGTTCAGCCTCAGAAAATGTAGTGCTTTCATTTCCTGTATCCCAGGCGGTATACATTTTAAGCCATTGTGATCTAGAAATAACTCTCTCAGAGAATGATATGCTCCATAGAATGAAACTTGATCCACGCCGTCGTCGGTGAGTTTGTTAAATGACAGATACAGGTATTCCAGGCCTGGCTTCATGTGGCCAAACACATAGCCTGGGATCAGTTCAATCTGGTTCCCCATGAGCACAAGGTGCAGCAGAGATTTGGGTAGGTAGGAGGGGACGCGGTAGAGCTTGTTGTAGGAGAGATCAATCGATTCTAGATTTCTGCAGCAAAGGAAAAGTGAACATAGGGAACCAACCTCAGGGCAGTGACTGGCAGCGCTGAACTTTGACAAGATCGGTCTGTTTTGCTGTAAGCCCCATGTTGCAGTGACACTTCTAAATGTAAACTTGACTGTGTGCTCACCTAGGTCTGGCTGGCTCCCAGGCTTACATTTTTACCAGCACCCATGCAGCCTCCCAGCTAAGGGTTTCATCAGAGGAGCACAGCAGAGTGCAGAAGGAAAAACTCAGCTCCTTGGAGTAATAGGGGAGTCACAGTGACAGAAAGATGTTCTCCAAATACTTCTGTGGTCAAACTATTGAATCAGAAATGAAATCCATGAATCCCTGGTTCTATCAAGGTTCTTTGTTTTGTTTTATTTTTGGGGTTTTCTGCAAGCTTTATTTTTCTCCTACACCTTCATTCCACATTTGACTTGATGGTCTGGCACACTTGGAACTTGGGGTGAGACCAATAGATCTAGAAGTTGTTATCGGCCAGAGGATCCCAGGAATGTGGTGAAGTCCCTGGCTTGTTTCAGGAGCTTTCCCTGAAACTCCTGATGAAGACTTTACCACTCACAGGGACTCACATTTACCCTCTGGTTGGCCCCAAAAACCTTTTTTCATCTCTTCTCTTCCTACATCTCAATGACTGATATCCTATGCTGTACTATCCAAATGTGTCATTCTGGGACACACAGCTATATCTGGACCCTCAATTGGACATGCTGCCAGGGCTTGCCTCCAACTCCCTTTCGCTTCACTGAGGGGTAGGGCAAGTTTGCTGATTCCTGTCAAGGACAATGGATTCTACTTTCTGCCTCCACTGTCAGGCCCAGCCTTTTAAAATCTATTTTGTAGGACTTGAAATGGGGAAACAGTTTGGACAAGAGGGCAGTGGTATGGGAGAACAGGCCTGGCCTTTAGAGCTTGTTTCTCCCTAATGGTGATGAGGAACAGGTTGACACATTTCTTCTTCACTGTATATGGAGTATTCTTCCCTATAAGCCTTATACCAACCCGTGAGGCACACAGAGTTAAAGCAGCAGTTGACAGTTGTGATCAGAAGTCAGTTCTTGCTACCTCACCACCTGCCAAGGAGTAGGGTACCCGCTAGGCAGTAGTGATCCTAATACCATGTAGTAGACATTTTGGAAACTCTATGAAGTGGCCAAGTTGGGGTAGGGCAAGGGTTCACTAAGGATGGTAGGAAAGTTAAATAGCAGCATATACTTACTCCTGATTTATCCAGGCTAAAGGAGCAATTCTATTTTCTTCTATTTTATTATAACGTAGTACAATAACATTGATCTTTCTGGTATGATTGAAACAAATTTCAGTTATTTCTTCAATTTGGTTATTTCCTAGGTGTAATTCCTGTAATTAATAGAAAAGAATATTACTTTTTCCATTTTTATTTGTTAATAAATATATTGAATGTCACAGATACTAAAGTTGTAATGAAGACTATTCTCATTAGTATTATCAAAAGATTCTTTTAAGTGAGTTCATGGTTTTAAGTTGTCAGATTTTATAACTTGTAAAATAAAATGAACTGTATTTGTTTATTAAATTAAATGGTTTTTATTTTACTCTTAAACAACAAAATGTTGTGGGGTTCAGCATACAGTATACAATTTGCAAAACCTAGGATCTCATTTGGACTTTAAAAGTCTGGAAAGTAAGTAGAAATTATTATCTCCACTCACCATGGAGTAACTCAGACCCAGAGAGATGACGGTGCTTGCCCACGTTCCAGGACTGATATACCAGAGGGGCTTTTCCTAGCAGAGCTTTTAGCTCAAGGCCAGCTTCCTACTGTTCCATGAGGTCTGTAATAGTTTTAGACTCACATTCCAAACTTACTTGTATTTAATTAAGAGTTAATCGATTGAGAGCCTTAATTTAGAATCACAATGAAGTTTACTAGAACTATAAGAAAATTTAAGAGTTACTTGCCTTCAAGTTAAACTTAGTTTTCATTAAAATGAATTTTTTTACTAAGAGAATATGAATTATAAAATTCTGCTTGTTCTGGTTAGAATGCAGAAATAGAATTAGCATGTACCCTCAGTGTAACTTTCCATTCCTGCCTTGGCAACTTTTCCCTTTGTCATTTAATCGTGGTATTTGTTAGAAATGGGTAAAGTGGCTTTCAGCTTTTTGCATTTTTCTCCATATATAATTAATAGATGAGATAGATCAGTGGTTCCCAAATGTGATTGTATGTTTGGAACACCTCATGAGCTTATTAAAGTATCAATTCCAACCTAAATGTATGCAAGTTAAGGGGCTAGTTAAATAAGTCCTACCATACTTCTCCATACCTATATTACTCACAATTATAAGAATGATGTGTGGCAGTCTTCAGATATATAATGCGGTGCAAGTGGCATGCAGAAGTGAGTTTAGAAAGCTTTACAGCACACACCATGCACATGTATACACAACACTTCCTGGGTTGGCGAGAGAGGCCAAGATGGGAAGTTTAGACGTAGGGAGGGGCATGTATTCTTTTGTATTGTCCAAGTTTGTGTGTGTGTCACTGGTGGTAAGTACTGTCTAATGATCTTTTTAAAAAGTCTAAATTCTAGTTCTCTGTTCAAAGAGTCTGACTTAGAATATCTGGGATAGATTCAGGAGCCTGTATATCTTAGGAACCCACATGATTGTGATCAGCATGAGACCATAATAGGTGTCCTCATGGGATGAGCATGTGGTGTGGTAGAAACAGAGCTCAGATAAGGAAACCTGGGTTCCAGTCCAGGTTTATAGACTCTGTGAACCTCAGTGTTCCTAATACAGGAAATTCAGAGTGTTGACACTAATTGGTCAAAGACTTCCTGGAAATTGTTGGGGATACTTTAGAAGGATTTAAAAAAAGATGGTGCATTGGGCGTAGAGTTATCACAGGACAGTCTTGGTAGGAGCTAGTCAAAATTTATAAGCTATAGAGTAACAGGAACAGGCAAGGCCTTCTTGGTATAATATTTGCACCAGCCATTTGCTGTTTGCTAAGAGTGTCTGGTTTTACCTGGAACTTCTAAGTGGAAACAGGTGGTATTGACAGAGGTTGAGCTATTCTGTGTTGAACTTCATAGTTCTGGCTTGGGATAGTTTGAATGGCTGTAAATGTTGGGTACCTTTTGCACGTTGTGGTTTCTGTTCAGGTTCTTAGTTCCTCTTTCCCATTCTCAAGAGTTGTCAGCAGTATCATTTTTCACTTTATCAGAGGTATATAGTGCTTATATTATATAAAAAATTCTGTATATAGCACCGAAACTCTTATCTAGTTTAGTATACATTACCATAGTCTTTTAAGAGACACTGTTTGCTTTGTTGTAGTATACTTTATCTAAAATATATTTAAAATGTTGGAAGGAAGATATCAGTACCTCAATAGAAGCAGGAAGACCTTGTGGAATAATTCTAAATTTATTTTTTCCCAGGCGCAGGTAGGATAGGCTCTTCAAAGGTTTGAAAGCTAAAGGATTGACATTGGTTTCACTGAGATTGTTTCCTTCCATTTCTAAGGAGACCAACTGATTTAAGTCTATAAAAATAAAATTATAAGAATATTAGCATAATTGGGAACACTATGCAATGTCGGTTTGGGGTGTAGCTTAGTGGTAGAGCACCTGCTCGGTGATTTTGATCCCTACCACCACAAAAGAGAGAAGAAAAATAACCATGCAGTTTTTATAGCCTGCATGTGAAAAAGTTCACTTTATTTCAAAGGTGTATAGTTTCCTTATCTTTGTCTCTTCCCTGCCGCATAGATCCTATTCCTAAGTTCTTTGCACATCTCAGATGCACATTTCAACCAGGACAAAATGCACAATATAGAGAAGAAATCATTCAAGTGTTACACGAATACGTGTAATTAACAGAAGCAAGAGGGAGGAGGAAGAAGACAGAAAGAAGTGTCAGGGATATCTCTAGAGGCCATGCTGGCTGAGCTGGGGTTGGAATTGAGATGCATGTAGAGTAGAAGGTTGTAGAAAGTCTTTGGCAGCATTTGCAATGACAGGTTGGGATGCTTTGGCATCATGACAGGTCATAGACTGGTGAGTGATTCCCTTTCCTAGGACACAGAAAGGGGCACTCTTTCTATAGAAAATTCCAGTCTCTCTACAAGGGAGTTAGTAACAAAGCAGAACAATGAATTCCCTGTATAGTTATTCACTTATTGGCACAGAGTTTTTGATTTAAAAAAGAAAAGATGATCAAAACCTCCAGTCATTCACGTTAAGCTACCAAGAAAGTCCACACCTCTCTCACTGGCCCAGGCGTGATGTCATCTAGGTCAGTTGGAAGCTTCGAGGTAAACCACTGACCACCCACAAATGAAATACCCAGAGGAATCAGAGACAGAAGTTCAGGGTGTGGCCAAGATTCCCAAGTAAGGGATATTTTCCGATTTGTCACAAGCAGTGCATAGAATGCCTTGTGTGACTTAGTCTGACACATAGGCATTAGCAAAGACAGTTACATGAGATAATAAATGCTGGAAGAGTAAAAGAGAAAGCAGTGTAGATTTGAGTGGTATGGAAGTGGTGTGCTTTTAAGGATAGAAAGATTTAGATAAAAGTAAGAGGAACTTCTATGTTGAAACAGTCAGGTGAGCACACACAGATAAAGGGCTGTGCTTGAGCTCACCTGCCCACTACTAGCCAGCCATACCCTGCCATCCACAGCTGCAGGACTCAAGGCAGTCAGGGAGGCTCAGCAGCTGCCCCAGCCAAGGGAGCAATCACACTCACAGAAGCAAGACAACAGCAGGACTAAGAACCCAGCCTACCCAGGAAGTGTAGGGAAGTTTTCAGGGCAAGAGGACAGCAGAGGGCCTCTTTTTTGGCCACCTACATGGGAGCGAGGCCTCCTCTGCTTGGAATTTGACAGTTAAGAGGACAGGTGGCCAGTTTACCTTGGACCACACATCAGTGCTCTGAGAATATAGAAGCGTTTATGCATGAACCATTCCAGGGATGTGTGAGACCACTTTCAAATTAAGGAGTTTAGGTTTTATAAAAAGCTATCATTTTGATAGCACAAATGTGAACTCACATATAGTTAGTTATTAGCCTATTAGTGTATTATTCTCAATTCTGTGTTCCCCCATTCTCTGTGTAATGGAGCAGAAATGAAATTTTCCAGTGCCTTCCCACATATGACAAAGCACATCAAAATTTGGGTTTATTAATGTTTTTCATGTGTACCCTTGAAATGCATCTGGAAATTGAGTATTTCCCTAGCTATGTAATACTCAGATTTGGCAATTTTTATAATTACTGTTTTCTTCTCAGCAGCAGAAGTGTTTTGTTCCTGTGAAGTTTCTTAGCACTAAGGGAAACAGTTGGAAATGCTAGGTTTATCAACAGTTATATAAAAATATGTTTCAAATAAAGTTAACAGAGAGCATTGAACTCTATGCCTCAAGAGCTCTACTGGATAATTAGGAAGACGAAAGAAAAATATAGGCAGTCTTTATTTTAAGGAAGCATACAATCTAATCAAAGGTGTCAGCTAGATTCTTTGAAGAGTGAAATAGCCTCTTTTGTAGGGTTACATTATGTGCACGTCAGCTATCTTATGTGGTTCAGAAACAAGCCCACTTCCTTCAGGTTCAAACCCTTCTCAGTAAAGTCTGTCTCTTAGAAAGCCAGGCCATGGCCATAGTCACACTCTCTACACCATGAAATACGGGAGGAGCAGGAACCTAGGGCCGGCCCACACCCTCAGGAACAGAGCCACCAAAGTCAAGCTACTACCATGAAGATCATTGCCTTCACTGAATGACAGTACCTCAGCTTCTTACACAAGCCTGCATATTCCTGCTGTACACACGGTTCTCATATGCTTAGTTTCAGGTTCTAACACATGGCAAATTAAAATAACAATATGTTATTATAAGCATAGCACAAATTATGGATGGGGAGATGAAGGAAGCCCAGTCACCAGACCTTGAAGAGCCAACAAAAATACCAGCTAAGAACACCAAAATTTATGGCATTGTGGGCAGTATTTAGTGCTGCTTTCCAGGTATTATGGATTTGTAGTAGAGTTATTATATTGTACATGATGAGAACTTAGAGTTGTTGAAAGTTTTATTTAAGGTTAGTGTGCTTTTAAAAAGACAATAAACAATGTAAAATATACTTGTAATTTTACCAGTCAGTAAGTTTTTATCAATTTATATAGTAATGGCCTAAACACTTTTTTAGTTATGCATTTGGCAGTACTGTAAATCAGATTTCCAAATGGCGACAGAAGATTCGAAGGAAATGTGTCAGAAAAAAACAAACGTTAAATACCTGAAAAACTTTCTTCATCAATAGCCTGAAGATTATTTTCATTGATGTTGAGTTCTTCTAAAGTAGATGGTAATTCTGAAGGAATGTGTACTAAATTATTTCCATCCATATTCAGACGCATTAATTTCTTCAGAAGCTTAAAAAGCAAATATTAAAATTATCATTTTTATGATTAAATCATGCATTAATCTGACTGTCATGGATGCTCAGAGTTAAGACAATGATTTTTAGTCCATATTTGTAAAGCTCCGTTTCATATCTACACTAACACTGATGTGAGGAAAAGGGTCATAATATAACACTAATCACTGTGTAAATTTTTCAAACCAAAGTGCTACAAATATCACAAGTTATTCCTATACGATATGCAAACAACTGACTACCTGGAAAAGTGCATTTCCACACTTAGAGTTACATGTTATTGCCAAACCTAGCCTGCAACAACAAAAATGGAGAACTAAAGTTGAGCAGGCTTTAGTGAAGCCATGTGGAATGATTTACTTCTCTAGTGATCATATTCTTGTTTCAGATTTATAACAGGACAAGAAAATCTCCAAGAAAAGGAAGTAATCTGCTACAGTGTTTTTCTGTGGACCAAATATAGGATATATATGGCCCTTAATGGCAGCTGTTGCTGTCAGAAAGATGGACAGCTTGAAGCAGGTACTTGGAGCCCTATTGACTCTCTGCTCAGATTCCAGAGGAGAACCAGGATCTGAGAATACAAGAGGCCAGTGATGTGGGAGAGTTGTCGGAAGACCCAGATAGCCATCCAAAGGAACAAAGTTTGAGCTAGTGCAATGTAGTGTTTTACTTATGGCTGTTAAGGCACACACATTTATGAGTTTTCCTTTCCACACATAAGCTTTAACCTTCCTTCTTCTATTTTTGTTGGTTTAAAATTTCTTGATCCCCTCTTTTCCTTTTTCTAAATAGATTTTTAGTTAGATCTATTTCCTTCAAAGGTTTATTCTATATCATTTCCTGTCCTCTCTTTTTCCCTCTTCTTCCCGATCCCACCCAATGCCAATTTTCATCTGAGCCCCTCTTTTTCTAGAACCCATTGCCAAAGCATCTTCCACCAGATTTTGCCCATTGTCCAAATATATGAAAGCAGTGTCCTGCTGGCCTGAAAATGCTCATAGAGGTTTCATATAAGTCCTGTTCTTAGACAGTGCTTCATATGGTAAGACATCAGATTTCAATGTTTTCAGCTACTTAGGAAGGAAGTACTCCATAAACTGGAAGCATTAGTTATGTCACTTATGCATGTAAGATGAGACAAAAAATATGTAAAACAAATTACTTTCAAGAGAAAACTTGAATGCAGTTTATGGACATCAGAGAAGGAACTTCCTTGATGCAGAAGAAAACTGCCAATTAGACCCTTTTTGCTTTTCCTCCCTTCCCATCTCAGACTACAGCTAGTGCAAGTCACAGGGAAGCTGTTCACATGGATTGTTATGTAGACATTGGAGTATGTGGTTACCTTGAAGGCTTTTGGACCTATGGCTGAAGAAGTGATATTATTTTTGCTCAGATCAAGCCTTTCCAGATTCGGTAATCCATTAAATGCTTCATCCGGGATGGAGGTGATAGAATTCCCTAGGATACGCAGCAGTTGTATTAGACTCTGCCCACAGAGAGATGTAACAAATTTACGAAGTTCTTTATGCTTTAGTTTTAAGAGTTTTTGTTTTGATACTGTAGTTAAGTACAGTAGTCAATTATTTTTTTAATCAATGATTTTACACACAGAAAATGACCTTTCCAGAAATAATACGTACTATAAAAACCATCAGGTGCTGGGTTTGTAATCCCAACACTTTAGAAGGGTTGGGGCAGGAAGACCAAAATCCTGAGCAACTTAACAACTTAGTGACAGCCTGTCTCAAAAGGGGTAGAGATGTAGTTCAGCATGAAGGCCATGGTTCTTAAGACCTACTACCACCCCGCAACACATACACACACACCCTAGGTATGGTGATGCATGCCTATAATCCCTGTACTGAAAGAGACTGAAGCAGGAGGATTGCAAGTTTGAGTCCCACCTGAGTACCCTGGGTTTGATGCCCCAACAGTAGGAAGAAAATGTAAAATGAAATAACTTGTAAAATGAAAATAGTGTAGCCCAATATAAGTAGTTTATCCTTCCTAGACACATTGAGTTTTCTTATAGCATACTTGACACATGGGCTGCAATGGGGGTAGTACAGCATACTTGACACTTGGGATCCAGTGACTTGCTGGGCAAGAGAATTCATTAGGTGATATGAAAATGGAATGAAAACCTCTGTTAGGAAGACCATAGAATCTTCTAATATACCAGCAATTTCCCACTGCACATAGCCATCCCTGCAGGAATAGGTAGGGTCTGTTCTGATGTCCTCGTGCTCACCATCCTCAGGCCCACCCTGCTATACCACACTGGCCAGACCCTCACACCTGGTCCTGCTGTCCTCCATTCAGAACCCTCCCTGGTGACCTTTACAGAGACATGGACTAAAGGTCCAGAAACTATATTCCTGCTGAAGTGGCTGAAGCGAGGGGGAAACAAGTATCAAGTGCTGGCAGGTTGTGACAGGAGCTGTGGGAACTCCCCAGTATGCCAAGGGTAATGATGAGCCACCTTGGAAAACTGTTGGGCAGGCTCTACAAAGTGAAACATGCATTTTCCCTTTCCACTTGGCAGTTCCGCCCTTGGGCATAACCCTGGAGAAATGAGGTCATAGGTCCACATAGATATTTGTATGCGGATGTTTATAGCAACTTTTTGCACATTTGCCTCACACTGGAAACAACCCAAATGTCTCCTTGCTGGTAACTGGTCTTTCATGCAACAGGACACTACCTATCAATAAAAACTAACTGACATATTCAAAACAAAACATGTGACTCTCAAAAGCATTAGACACCAAGCCAGAAAAGCTCTGTATCGTGTGACTGCATTTATGTGACAGTCTCAAAAAGGCAAACCCATAGAGATAGAAAACATTTTTCTGTCATAGCCAGGGTCTAGGGAAGGTAGAGACATGAGGAACTTTGGGAAATTACAGAAATGTTCCACGTCTTGATCGTGGTTGTGTGTATACAGCTGTATGTATTTATCAAAACTCAGAACTATATACCAAAAATCAGTTTTACTCTTATTTTATACCTGAGCCATCTGCAGTAAGGTTCTCTCTTCTAGAGAGTTCTTGTGTGAAGATGATGAAATTAGTCTATATTATGAAATTGAAACACAGCATTCATAGAACAGCAAGAGTCATATGTATGTTGAAAGCACAAAATAAAAACAAGTCAACATTTCTTACCCACAAGCTCCAGATTGGTTATCTCTGGAGCCATGATTGGTGGGATGTGGGTGAGGGCAGCATGGACGCAGCTGATGGTCCTATAGGACAAGGAGCAGCCGCTGGGCAGGCGCGGCCTGCCTCTGGGGGGAGCAGGGATGGGGAGCTGGCAGGGCATTGGAAACACATCTCCTCTTACAGCCTCTTTCTCTTCCCCTTCCTCCTCTTCTTCCTCCTCTTCCTCCTCTCCCTCTTCCTGCCCCCTTCCACAGCGTAGCTGCTGATGTGCTGGCCTCCCCATCTTGCCAGGCCTTTGCTTGCTCTCTCTTCTGCTCTCCTCCTCACTATGAGGTTTGTCCTGATCTCTGTGTCCAGTGGTCTCTTTCTTGTGCTCTCTGTCTCCTTTAGTTTCTTCATCCTCCTCCTCAGATTGAAGTGCTTCTTCTCCAAATACTTGATCCATTTCCACCTGAGGAGGTGGCAGTTGCTTAGGAAGTACATTGGTAGGTTCTGTTTGTTCTGAAGAATCACCAGAAAATTCAGTTCTATCATTTAGCGTGCTGTCACTTACTAGGTAATAGGAGATTAACGACCACGCAGGGAGGAGGTAGCAGGGGCAAGTTGACGATGTTAATAAGAGGAAAAATCATAATGAAAACAAGATTAGTAAATATTATTCCCTCTAAGTATTTGAGTGCCATTTAAAGATGAATTGTATCTTCAATTTTTTCCTTGAGAAATTTTATCTGTAGCTTTTTTCTGTTTTATAAGATCTGCTATAGATAATTTTTCATATCTCTGTGCTAGCTTTTGCATTAAATAACATGTATTTTTGCTAGAATATAATGCTACCCTGGGACTAAAGAGGGAATAACATTGCCACATGATGCAATATAGAAAGCAATCTTATGGTGAGTTTGTGATATCATCAGATGTGATGCCTTTATAACAGATACTGTTCCATTTATTTGAGTCTTTGTGGTTTGGTTTGGTTTTAGTTTTGGTTTTGATTTTGGTTTTGGTTTTTTGAGATAGGATGTCACTATGGAGTTCAGGCTGGCCTTGAACACACTGTATAAATCAGGCTGTCCTCAAACTTGGGACAGTCCTCCTGCCTCTGCTTCCCAAGCACTGGGATTACATGCATGTGCCACTGCACTCAGCTTGGGTATTTTTTATATAAGAATTTATAGTCTGTCTTCAGATATAAAAAGTTAAAACAGATGTATATTTTACTATGGTAATAAATTGCCTTTGTTTATAGATTTATTATTTTCATCCATTTTTTTTCTCAGCTCCAGGGGCTAGATAGCATCTGAAATCAGAATTATAAAGTTCTCTTTTTTCCTGCTGAATTCTCTACTTAAGTTGGTTTTGCTGCCTGAGACTTATGCATGGTGTCCTGGACCTAAGTGCTATTGCTTTTCTGTAGACACATGTACTGGAGTGCTGTTCATAGTACCTTGATGCTGGGAGCAGAACAGATAATTATAGAACGCTACTCTAATTTACATATAGCTTTCTATCTGGCAGAATTAGGGAAGACATGACATGAGTCTAAATTCAGTCTCAGCTGAGTGTGGTGCTGCACCCCTGTAATCCCAACACTTGGGAGGCTGAAGCAGGAGGATCGCTGTGAGTCTGAAGCCAGCCTGGGCCACAGAGTGAGTTCAAGGCCAGCCTGAACTATATAGTAAGACCCTGTCTCAAAAAACCAAAATAATTAATCACACCCACCGAGTGAAGAGTTCTAGGGAAAAGTGAGCTTACAATGCACAAGTTTTCCTCCATCAAAATTTATAAATTCATTTAATCATCTTTCCATATTCATTTAATACTATATACAAACTACTCCCTGAAGGAACTCAGGAAATACAATTATTTGAAGAAATTATTTGTGATGGCAATTCAGTATATATTATAAAGTCTGGGATTTTTTTCACATCTCTGACAAAACATGCAGAAAAGAGAATAGGAAAAAATTGGTCAAAGGAAACTAAAGCTGTCATATTGAAACATTTAAAATCCTTCCTATATATTCCATGTTTATTTTTCCAAGAGAACATTTTAAGAATATGTAGTCTCTTGAAAAATGTCTAAGTATTTCTAGATCTTATCTTATATATCTTGTATTTCACTGTAAGGAATCAATTTTGTTGAACATTTTTATAACATTTTTCAAAAGTGTACTGTTTCATTTAAATAACTGATTACACAAGGTAAAATACAACTCCTGAGTATTGTAAAGCTCTTCCTCACAGGAGACTTTTCAAAGCAACTGCCCTCTGATCATCTATGTATAAGAGCAATCTACTGTGGTTATAGACAAGAGAAATTGTCCCTATTCCTGACTGTCAAATTATTTAACAAGTGTTTATTTATTTTCATAAATAACTGGCTAAGTGTTTCTTTTATTGGCTTCTTTTCATAGAAGAGGCCTGGGTCTCCCTCTCAAGAGCCCCCTGTTTGGCTAGGTGAAAGCCTCAAGGGAGAAGAGATCTTCAGGGAGCATCCGACAAAGCCCATGTTGGAACTTGAGCACAGGAGGGCCACACTAGGACACAGTCCTCTTGCCACACTTCTGCACTTCCCCAGGATTCCTGAGCCTGTGCTATGGATTGCTTGGGAGCATAGCCAGGAGAGTTGAGGCTGCATTCCATCCATTTATAAATCACTCCTTTGTTCTTATGACATCAGTGTCTTCATTTCAAATAACTTACCCAATGTGATTTGGGTTAAATGAGCTAAAACGTGTACAGATCAAAACAGAGCCCTTAACTGATAATAATTCAGGGTCTGTCGTAGAAATCTCATCACATTATTGCTAAAGCTAAGGGTCACTTTTGGAATGTGATCTGGTCCACATTTACTCATTCTGATAAAGCTAGAACAATAAAGCCATCATCTATTTTTTCTGTTAACCTACCGTATACTTCCCCAGATATTTCTGTTATCAGCATTGTGCCTGATGAGTAGGCTGCTATAGTTTATACCTTAAAGTAGTGACAAAATAGAAACAAAGGAATTGACTAAATCACGCATGATGGTTTTTTTTGGCTACATCTCTGTACCAGTATCAGTGCAGACTGGGCAGCATTCTCCTTTGGGTGTAACTGTGTAGGGGCACGTCTGGGGTTGACACATGGTTTCATCACAAAGCACTCTTCCGTCTGAGCAGAGACAGGTGGTACAGGGGTCAGGAGACCATACAGCTTTGTTGTACATGGTCATGCCCTTCACCAAGCAGTGTCCCTTCTTTCCTAGAAGAACACAAGTAATTTAACAGACATTGAAATTACCTATGTGGTTGCCAGCATCTCTGAATAGAATTAAATGCTATTTAAAGGCAGACTGATATAACTGCACAAGAATAGATTCCTGTTTGTCTTTGTGCACAGAGTAAAAACATCCTTCAAATACAGCTCCTGGAAATGCATTTCACTGACGCTCTTTTCAGCTCCTCTCGCTAAGCTCTGAGAGTGACCTCCTCGTGGTATTTGGAATGTGACTTGCACATCCATCTTGTATCTATCTTCAGGATAGGCTGAGTGACACAACAGAACAAGCAACCTTCAAATGTTAGATTTCTTGTTCAACTGAGTATCCAGTGTGGGCTCACAGGCGCTCGGCTCATGTTAGTCACTTGGTAACAGACAATAGACTTCCTCAAACACACTGTCCTAATTGCCACAGTGGTGAGAATGGGAGGTTGCAAATTGCAGCCTGAGTTTTACAAGTGTCTAATTATACAAGCCAAGACAGACTGTCTGGCTACACCTAACAAAAGCAGTGTAGTTTCTTTTCAGCCCCAGAGAGCACTGACAACCCGCACACTGTCCAACTTTGTTTATGTATGTAGGGGGAAAGGTGTGACAGCATACTTCTGTGGACTTCTTAGATACTGCAGCACTCTTTTTTGAATTACTACATTATTAAAATAAAACTCACAGACCATAACAGTTACCCATAAAGTGCACGATGGAGTACATAGTGCACATTGTGGGTTGGATACACCTGTGTGATAATAAAACATGTTTTTATTAAAGGGAGCTTTGTTACTTATATATTAACTATATTATATGCAGCCGAAGACAATTCCTGTTCCCTGGTTGTAGGCCAAGCAAGCCAGGTGTGTCAGCTCAACAGGTCAGAGAGAACTGAGGGGAATCTCAGAGGGGATGTCTTCCTCCCACGCATGGTGTCATTCTTGGTAACTCCTCCATCTGAGCCACTGTCTACAAACTCTACCCCTAGATGAACTCTCACTTTGGCCCCTCTTCCCCATATCCATACTGCCTCAGTCCAGTTTCAGGCCTCCCCTTGTCTCATTTGGGTACTTGCAGTCAACTAGTCCCACTCAGTTACTCCTCTGGAGAAAATACACTTGTTGTTTTTCCTGATTGTGTAACTACTATACCTATACCCTATCAAAATTTCGGTGATTGGTTGGTTGGTTAGTTGGTTGGTTTTGCAAAAGTAGAAATGTTGATCCTCAAATTCTTATAGAATTACAAGGGATCCCAAGTAGCCAAGCAATGTGGAGTAAAAAAGAACAAAGTTTGAGTTCTCACACTTACAGATTTTAAAACACTACAAAAGGTTTACTCCCAAGCCACACTAAGCAGCTTATGCTAGCAAGAATGAAGTAAGTTAAGACATCTGTGGCCAGTTAATTTTCATGAAGGGTGGTAAGACCATTCAACGAGGAAAGTAGTCTCCTCAACAAATGTTGTTGGGACAATTGGACACCCAATTATAAAATGGGCAGGCCAGGCATACCTAGAATCCTAGCAGTTACAAGGCTGAGACAGTAGGATTGCAAGGTGAAGGCTGTCATGGGCTACAAGTAAGACACTGTCTCAAACAGTACAAAATAAAAATGAGCAGAGGACTTGAACAGACACTTTTCTAAAGAAGACACACAAGTCAAAAGATTTTCAACATCATTAGTCTTAGGGACATGGAAATCAAAAGCACAATGAGATACCATTTCATACATATAATCAAAGAGAAGAATAAATTAAATATAGAATTACCATATGGCCTAGAAGTTGTACTCCTAGGTTTATACTCAAAAGAATTGAAAACAGATGTTCAAATAAAATTTATACACAAATGTTCATGGCTGGGATACACACAATTGCTGAAAGGTGGAAACAAACCAAATGCCTGTCATCAAGTCATAAATAGACAAACAAAATGTGGTCTGTACACACAGGAGAATGTTATTCCACCATAAAAAGGAAAGAAGGCTGATGCAGGCTAACCGTGGAAGAACACTGGACACATGCTCCATGAATGGAGCCAGACACACAAAGCTACATATTATATGATTCCATTTATGTGAAATATTCCAGAATAGGCAAGTTTATAGAGATAGAGACCAGATAGGGGCTGTCAGGGTTGGAGATAGGGAAGAAAGAGGAGTTCTGTAAAGGCTTTCCTGTGAGGTGATGAAAATGTTCAGGAACTACTTAGTAGTGGTCATTGCACAATATCGTGAGTATACTAAATGCCACTGAAGTGTATATTTGAAGTGTTAAATTTTATGTTATATGTGGTAATACAATGAAAAGAAGTGCTTTAAGACTGCTGGAAAAGAATGTGGACCACTTAGAAGTGTTTAGTATACAACTGCTATACTTTAAAAATGTACATCACCCTGTATTAGTTTTTTTTAATCATGTACAGTATCGTGAGCCTGAAGATCCAGCTAATAGGTAAGCTAGGGCAGGAGGATAGCTGGAGCCCAAGAGTTGGAGGCCAGTCTGGCAGCATAGCAAGAATTTATATCAAACAAATAAAATGAGTAAAAGTAAGAATTTCAGCCACTTAACAGTTTACCCCAAGCATTACTCAGGTAGTGCATTTGTTCATGTGCTGACTGTCCCGACCATTGCTCAGGCGTGTGTCATTTCAACCAGTCAATTCTTGTTTCTACAATATGCACTCATATGTCTGTTTATCTGTTTTACGTCAACTATTTTTTGCATATATTTTAAAATTTAGAACATACTCACCTTTGATGTTTATTTCTAATGAAATCTAATAATAAATTTTCATTATTTTCTTTTACTAATTCATGTTTACTTGTGAAAAATAAACTATAATTTTGTGTTATAATTTATAAAACTCATTGTAATTACATTAGATATAATTTTTATACTTATCCAGAACTCAGTGATATTCTTTTACAATACAAAATGAACACATTTGGGACACTGAGACTGAATAGGAAGGAATTGCCAAAAAATCTGCAAAAGAATAAAACTGAAAAAGGAAAAAATGTTGACAGATAGGAGAGGGAAAAATCTATGTTATGAAACGGAGAGACAAAAAAGACATCTCCTTATTTTCAAACTATTCATAATACAGAAATGATAGAACTTCAAAGGAGATACAAAACTAAAAGAATTTCAGTAGTGGTCAATGATTATAATAATTCTATGGCTTGTCTTGACATAGTTGACCAACATCTTACAAGCTACCCTATAATCAAAAGCAAGGGGAACTATGATTATAAAATATGTATGCGCCTTTTGGACCCAACAATATGGAACTCATTTGTTATTTAAAACAAGGGGGTTCAAAAAGTTGCTTACGATTTAGGTTAGGTTTAATACACCAAATAATTGAAAAATACAGGATAGTGAGGCATAAACCAAGATTTCCATCATCAATGTCTTCATCATTAGATATTTTATTGAAAATATACCACCCACAGAAAAAAGGAAAGGCCAACACAATAGCATAAGGTGAGTTGTTCAAAGAAAGACAATAATGCAAAAGGGATTTAAAAAGAGACCAGATCCTACTGTCCAGATTATAAGGTTGCATTGTACATTGCCTGTTTTAAGATATATGATATACAGAAATATTATTGGATAAATTTGATCAAATTGTCACTTTTATATTTCCTATTTGTTATGGTTAATACATTGTGTCAACTTGGGGAGTCTAGAGGTTTGGCTAAGTGACTCAGCAGGAAGCCAGGGTCCTTACTTTGTATACATCCTGAGCCTGTGGAAGAGGAGGGCATGGAGATTATGTGAGAGCTACATGCCCCTTAGGTGGGGGTAGCCTGTTTACAAAGTAAGGCGGGGAAAGAAGCTGCTTGCAGCCATTCTTCCCGTTTGCTCTGGCTGCTTTGCTGTTCAGCTGCCATTCCCTCCTTTGCTCTTGTTGCTTTGCTACCTTCTGCCTCGGAGCCAGCCAAGTATGGACTGAAACCTCCACAAACTATAAGCTAAATAAACCGTTCCTTCCTTCATTTTGGACGTTGGGTATTTTGTCTCAGCAACAACAGAAAAGTAACCAAGACACTACTATAAAAATTAATGAAAAATACACAATTTTTAGTCATCTTGTATTTAAATAATTGGACTGCAAAGTATTTAAAACAGAGGTGAGATCATAGCATGTGTACTACTTTTTGACCTTTCAGTCTATTATTATTTTTCCTTTCCTGTTTTTTTTTTTTGTTGTTGTTGTTGTTGTTGTTTTTGTCTTTTTTCAGGCAGGGTCTGTCTATGCAGTGCAGGCTGGCCTTGAAATCACTTTGTAGCCCAGGGTGGCCTCGAACTTCTGGCAATCCTCCTATCTTAGCCATCCAAGTGCTGGTATTACAGGCAAGCGCCTCCATGCCCAGCATGAATCTCCTATTTTTTTTTTTTTTTTTTTTTTTTTTTTTTT